AAAAAAAAAAAAAAAAAAAAAAAAAAAAAAAAAAAAAAAAAAAAAAAAAAAAAAGCAATTTCTTCAATTTCTTGCTTACACTGTTTGGCTGGAACTTGTTCCCTCCCTCCAGACTCCAGGGCTAAGTTTCAGCCGGTCACATCCTCTTCCTGTGTTACACAAGGCAGTCAGATACAGGGAGTAGCAAAGCCATAAATAGCAGCGATGAGAACCTTCCCTAGATCTGGGACATCTTCCCTTGCCATGAATTTTACATCATAGACTTGTTACAAGTGGTGAAAAAAGCAAGCACTGGATTTCTTCTGTCCAACTAGAAGTGAAGGAATGATTATATTACTTCCTGGAGGTTAGCATCTCATGCTGAGTCACAGTATACAGACCCAGGACACATGCTAGGGATGGACATTCTTGTACTCAATTTATTCATATTATTTTATAAAATGACTTTTTAATTACTTTTTTAAACTAAGCAAGAAATATAAAGGATATTGTAACATATTTTTTTTAAATAACGAAGAAACCTCTTGCTACTTTGGCAACGTGGACATATTTATTTTAATATGTAAAATGCTATTTATAAGGGCTGACCAGAGAACCATACGTCTTTGTAGAGTTTTATATGCTGCTCATTTGGATGGGTTATCCTGATGGTCACTTGTGCCTGGGAGAGGGCTAAGGGTGGTGTTGACATTTTGTATTAATTAGATTTCTGTGTTCCCCTTGCAGTGTGCCTTGTCATTGTTTCTCTGATGAAGAGGTTGTAATGTAAGGTTTAAGTACAGAGACTTTCACAGCCTTTTCAGCTTGCCTGTGATTCCCCAGGTAGTCCAAGGTGAAGGGAGATCTGGCTTTGCTGCAAAGGCCTCTCTTCCAGTGAGGGAAATGTTTGAGCAGAGCATCAGAAGTATTTGGGGCAGAAAAAGCAGAGAACGCAAGACAAGCACCGACATATTTCTCTTCTAATCATTTGGGAACACACCCACCACAGCATAGAGAATCCCCTTTGATGGCAGTGGGAGGAGAACAAGGGGGGGATGGAGAATGCATGACTGAGGCTGGAGAGGAGTTGGTTCCTTGGGTGGGAGCATGTGGGCGGCTGGAGCAGAGCTTTGCCCTGCGGCACGGTGCGGGGGCGTGGGGACACCTGCACGAGGAGCACGGCTGCACGTCCCTACTGCTCGAGGTCCTGCACCAGGTGTGTGTGCCTGCACTTGGGAACATGCTTACACTGCATGGCTGCCACAGAGAATTTCGACAAGATTCTAGAAGAATTACCTGTACTTTCAAGGAAGACCTTGCCAGGTTAGAACAGTGGTGCTGCTTGTGAGATCCCTTGTTTTGGGTAAGTAAACCCAAAAAATGAACCAAACTGTAGCCCTTTGGTTCCTTTTCTTGGACTTCAGGGAAAGTCTGACAGGACCACACACAGACCACCACAATCAGCTGTCCTGCTGTGCATGATGGGATTAACACAGATTGAAGATGAAGAAAAAACAAAGAGAAAGTGGTTGGTGCTCCCAGTGAACTGAAAAATGGGAAAACATCAGTGGAGTTTGCCTATGATCAGTTTGGAGATTACTGATATCCTTTATGTTTTAATTACTTGGGTATAAAAGTAGAATTGTCCTGGTTACATTTTTCATCTGTTTTCTGCTGTGCAGAAGCCAGTGAAAAAAGGGCAAGACTGGAAGAATTCAGTGCCATGTGTTTGTATTCTGTGCTCCTTTGACTAGATACAGTTCTTTATTTGAGGAAAAAGCGGCTGTGGTCTGTCTGGTGCACTGGTCCACTGGTGTGGTTTCGGGACCTTTGCCCTCTGCCAGCAGTGACTGATGCTGAGGGCTCTCCAGATGGGCATCACTTCTCATTGGAGAGCAGAGGCTGAGCAGCAGGACCAGCTCTGCCTTGAGCCCCAGTGTCACTGACAGGCGATGTGTCCTAAGTGGGCCATGACACCCTAAAGTGTCCCTGCGTTTTCTGCTGCTGCCCAGGCAGGTGGGAAGGGATGCGCCAGAAAGTGCCACAGTGCAGAAAGTGCCAGTGACCCATTGCCAGTGAGGCCTGGAAAACTGCTAGAGGTGAAGGATAAACAGAGAGTCAGGTAGAGAAGGACTTCAGGGTGAGAACCTGTTCATCTGGAGTTCCTAGGCTCTCCTGCTACATTTCCTGGTTATTGTGATGTTAATCGTGCAGCTTCCACCCCAAATAAATGCAGGCTTTTGTACTTTTAGCACCAGAGGCCTTTCAAAGGAAAATGGAAGGGACTTGAGAGGAATGAAAGAGACACTGAGGTTACAAGATGGTGACAAAGCTGAAGGTAGGCACATTTTATCATTACAGACAAAAATTTGTATGGTTCGCATGTGAGCCATTCCAACAGTTAAGTTGTTCTGCTTCCATACTGGGATGAGTACTGCAGGTGAGGAGTCAGCAATGCTGCCGTGGGGTAAGGAAGGAATTTTTCTGCTATGTTGTGGTAAAAACATTCACCCATTCCCATTCTGAAATTACATCAGAAATTTTGTTCGGGGCTTTTAGAGATGTAATTAAGAGACTTCTGGGTACGGATGAAGTCTGGGTGGCACTGTATACCAGGAATGGCTCACTGTGAAAGCTTTGATCTCACAGGAGGGAGAGTTTAACACTATTTATTGAAATCTGTGCTCCAAAACAGAGCTAAGAATACCAAAGCAATAAAAAAAAATCTATTCAGTTATTTCATTCAGAGATATAAGAAAAGCTGATTTCCACATAAAGTAAAAGAGAGACAGGGAAGAGTTTAAGGGAATGTTGAAGACAGGTCCTGTCAACCATCACAATAACAAGCTGTCACACAAAGCACAACAGGTAAACGTATCACTGCTCCAGATCCACTGCAGCAAAGTGAGTCAGCTTTTATTCAGCCTCTGGCCTAAATCCTTTCTTTTGTAGGGTTTGTGCTGCCTTTGGGCTTGTGCCCTGACTCAGGGGCTCTTGGGCCTGCAGGGCTGAGCTCCTGTTCCTGCAGCAGGGCTGGATCACAGCCCACTGCCTCAGCCAGACACCTCCCCTCAGCACGGGGGGTTGTGTGGAGAGCGGCAGCATTCCAGTCACCCCAGAGTTTCTAGAAGAACAGCAGAAGGATAAGCAAGAGCCTTTGATGGAGCTTGCAGCTTCAGTGTTAAATAACACCCGCTCCCAACAGCTGAGTGGGGGCAGGACTCATTCCAGAACTATTAATAAAGCCCCTATTTATACTCCAGGTTCCTGTGAACGGTGCAGCAGAAAGCTACAGCTGCAGAGCTAAAATGGAATAAATGTCAGCCTCCAGGGAGAAGTACTGTCCTGTGGGAAAGGAAACAGCCGAAGGACAGCACAGGGGCAGGTTTCAGACCTGAGGAAGCAGAGAGCGAACAGCAGCACCCTGAGCTCACAGCCAGTGGGCAGAGCCAGCCAGTCACCTCCCTGCAGCCGCAGGTCTGTGCAGAGCTGCCAGAGATGCAGCGTCAGAGGCAGCTCCCTCTGATGCCAGCAGAGACCAGCAGGATTTGAGCTGCCACTCCACTGACTTGGGACCAGGTGTCACTCAGGGGAAAGGTGCAAGAGCCAGAAAAGACGTTTGAGGAGGCTTTGAGTGCATTGTCTGCTGGACCGGAAAGATAATGGAGAGCACGGGAGGGCCGTATCTGAACACAGCTGCGGTGACTTCCCCTGTAGGAATAGCTCGATTGCTGCAGATGACCTTCGGATGTACCACATTCAGCCTGGTTGCCCACCAAGGGGGCTTCAGTGCCGCGTATGGCACCTTCTGCATGTTTGTCTGGACCTTCTGCTTTGCCATCACTGTGTTCATCATTGCCTGTGAGTTCACACACCTGCACAGCTGCCTGAGCCTCTCCTGGGGAAACTTCACCGCTGCTTTTGCCATGCTTGCCACACTCATGTCCATCACGGCTGCAGTGATCTACCCACTCTACTTTGTCCAGGTGGGCTGTTACCCCATCGGCTGTGAGGTGAGGGATTTCCGTATCGCAGCCAGTGTCTTTGCGGGCCTTCTGTTTGTCGCCTACGCCACTGAGGTGTTCTTAACCAGGGCAAAGCCGGGACAAGTCACCAGCTACATGGCCACTATCTCTGGACTCTTGAAAATCGTTCAGGCCTTTGTGGCCTGCATCATCTTTGGGGCACTAGTGAACGACAGCCAATATGGTAAATACGTGGCGACGCAGTGGTGTGTGGCTGTCTACAGCTTTTGCTTTGTGGTGACAGTGGTGGTAGTGGCCTTCAGCGTCACAGGTAAGACTGCCTTGCTGTGGTTCCCTTTTGAGCGTTCTGTGGTCATCTACACCTTTGGGGCTGTGCTGCTCTACGCGAGTGCTGCGGTCATCTGGCCAGTGTTCTGCTTTGACAGCAAGTACGGCTCCCCACAACGCCCTGGCCTCTGTGCCAAGGGAAAGTGCCCCTGGGACAGCCAGCTGGTGATTGCCATCTTCACCTATGTCAACCTGCTGTTCTATGTCTTGGACCTGGCGTACTCCCAGCGCATCCGCTTTGTCTCACACCTCTGAATTGTGGGTTGGCCTCCGTGGAGACATCTCAGTGCTGTGAACCACTGCAGGTGCAGAGGGATGGGGCGAGGGGCAGAGAGGTGCTGGGCAGGCACACACACAACACCATCAGCCAAACTTTGAGGTGAGGACTGACTACACTAACAAGTTAATGACCTGGAGCGGGTGGGCTGCAGCTGGTGCAAAGCATAGCCCAACTCCCCCATGGCTCTGCCTCGCCTGCCTGGTGCCAGTGCAAAGGAATTACACAGCTCCATGTGCATCTGCAGGCAGCAGGAATGCTTGTAGCCACAGCAGCGGGGCTGCAGGCTGCCAGGTTACTGAGCCAAATATTAGGAAAGACACCAAGGATTTTGAAACTGTTAACCAGTAACCAAGTGACAACTCAAGAAGTGGAAAAGTTAAAAGCTGCATGAAGGAACACCAGGAGATGAAAATCAATCCCTCGGAGTTTGGGTTAGTTTGGACTGTGTTGTGAGATGTGGAATGCCTGAAAGTGTGGGCAGTTCCAGTCTGGGTGTTTCTGAGAAGAACATCATAGCCATAACAGTATTTTGAAGGTTGCCAGTTTTTTCCCTTCCTCTCCTTTGCTGTCTAGCACAGAAAAGGAATATCCTCAAGTACACACCTTGGAGGAGGCCTATTTAATTTAATATTCCTATTTAGCAAACACTGATTAACTACAGAAATGAAACTTTGTGAAGTCAGGGCTCTACTGCTGAAAACCAGGTTGCAGAGCAGAGCCAACCTGCAAAGTGACTGTGTGTGACCTGCCATCCTCACCTGAGTAGCACAGAAAATACCTTGGCACATGCTCCATCTTGATTCATGGGCCACCACTTCTTTACACTGAAGTCAGGGGGTTTTCTTCTGTAGGCTGGAAGAAAAATTCTGGGGGCACAGGATAGGGGAGGCAGAGACCAATTGATCTCTCAGTGCTGCACAAGAGACCAAACTGGGCGGGGAGGGGACATGGCCAGGATGGGACGTGACAGAACTTGCACGTGGTACCCCGGAGCAGCTCAAGTGCAGGATTCCTGAGCACTCTGCATCACCGAGTAGCCAAATTTCTCAGACCCATCCCTGACAAAACACCCACTTTAAAGTTCCACACTTCTCAGCTCAGATTTCAGGCCCCATAGCAATCTTCATTTGTTCCAGGGAGAAGCCAGAGTGTCCAAGTGATTGTGCAGTACATGCAGACTTGAGTGCTTTGATTAAAATCTCCAGTAGCTGCCTGTCAAGCAAGATTTATGGTTTAACCAAAACAAAATAAAGCTGAATGGCAGATGTATGCTTACATCTCCTGAGATCTGTGTGCTGTCACTTTCCTCTCCACACTTTCATTCCAGCAGACATGGCCCTTTCTGCAAAAAAACAGAGCTCACTTTATTTTGATGTACAAAGCCTGAACACAGACCCAAAAAAGAACAGACACAACACAGCAAGACCTCTGAGTGTATTCTTTGCAGCAGAATGGCTCAGGAATAAGGAAGAAAACTTACTTTACATCAGTGCTTTGTATGGGGTTTGAAGAGCAAAGGGAAAACTTGTTGGGACAGATTATGTGGAATAATTCTGAGCAAGGACCAGCCCTTAGCAGTGGGGAGCATTAGCCAGGAAATGGGACAAGAATTGGGATCCAGCACAAAGGAACAGCCTTCCAAGGGGGTTTTCTCTTCTACAAGTCCCAGTGAAGTGCAGGAAATTTGGAAGATGTGGTCCAAGAGGAGGCTGGTAGGGCAAGACCCAAGGCTATCTGCTATAGATATAAACCAGGAGCTTTATTTCTTGCCACCCAAACAAATTTTGGGTTGTACAACTACAGAATGCTGATTTGGAAAAGGAAATCCACTTGTGTTGGAGGAGTCAATTTACAAGAGCCACTTGGGAATTACATGCAAAGGGACCCTGAGCATTTATGCTAACCTTATGCTAACCCTAACCCCATCAATATGGACAAATTAAGCTGTGTCACACTTGAAAATTACTCATTTTTTGTTATTACAGATCACTAGAAACCAAACAGGTGTCTGTGAAGGACCATGGCTTTTGTTATAAAATTCAATCCAGCGAGCCCAGGAGGGGCTGGAGAGAAGTCCCATCCTGAAGGCTTTGGGGGTGCTGGGGAAGGGGGTCAGCAGAGGCAAGAGCCCACAGGGGAGGGTGCTTGTCCCCAGGGATGACACTTCCAGTGGCTCAGGCAGTGGCTGCTGTTGGAAAACTCCTTGGCTGAGAGCATGTGGCTGAGCAGGCACTGCTGGCTGCTTGCTGGGAAGATTTTGCACCAAGTAGGAGCAAGAGCAGAAACATGGTAAAATCTGGCAATGCCATGAGTTGAGGCAACTTACACTGAGCGAGGGTCAAAGGGCCAGAGAGAAACTGGTACTTGGGAAACAATGAGGGCAAAATTGAGTGCCTTCACAATAAGGGGAAAGAGAATTTAACATGAAAATCATGATCCCACTGACTGGAGGAGTGGAAACACAAATCATTGCCAAGAACAATGCGTTCAGATTTAGCTTTCTCATGTGCCAGCCAAAGACTGAACAAAAAATGTGAACATGGTCAAAATGGCAAAAAAAAAAGATTGTGTGGACAACAATCCTCTCTTTTAGGAGAAAAAAAAAACAACAAACAAACCAAAAAAACCAACCAAAAATCAAAACCTCATGCTTCAGTGGTTAAAACACTCCCCAACCATTGGAAACTATGACATTGCCCAATCCAGGACAGAGAACATCTGATATCTGCTCAGCAGGATTTACCAACCAGCTCCGTCATGATTAAGTTCACCAAACCCCTGTCATTTCTAGAGTATCTACCCTCTTAATTAATAGATGATGATCAAGTAGCTCACCATGGACCAGGTTTCTCCAGTCACCAACCATTCCAAACCTGTTCTGGTATACTAATGTTAGGATGTATGTGTGTTGAGTAATTGTGGACTTGTGGCTGAAGCCAATTTAGACAGCATCCAGAGGATTCCAGCACAGATAGATTCAAATCAGAATTGTTAATGGGTTTGGTTTGGCTTTTTCCTCTCTTTATTCGGAAGCCCAGGTTTCAGTATCCCCAAAAGATCAGCATTTAGGAACATTTATCAACAGAAAAAGCACTGAGATTTATTTCTTCAATAAAGAAGCAAGAAAAAAAAAATAAACCAGTGAGGTAAGATGATACTCAGGAAAAAAAATCAGCGCCTGCTGCCTGGATTTTACGGGAACTCTGCACGCCGGCCCGGTCTCTGCACAGCCCGGGGCCGCAAGGCTCTGCCGGAGCCACGGCGGGAGGCGGCACTGCGTCCGGGCCCGGATGGGAACCGTTCACGTGCGGGCAAATCCCTCGGGAAACCTACGGGCAATTCCCAGGGCACGAGGTGCTGCAGGGCCGTCCGGGGAGGAGGGAGCGGACCCCGGAGCGTCCCGGGCCGGCCGAGGTGAAAGCGTGGCGGGAGCGGCGGAACCCGAGCAGAGCATCAGGGGAGGGGACCCGGAGCCCCGTCTGGCGCCCGCTGCGCTCTGGCCCCGCGGAATCCTGCTCTCCACGGGGCCGGTGCCCGGGAACGGCCGGACCCGCGGCGGGCGGGGTGACCCCGGGCCCGTGGCGGCGGCGCTGCCCGCGGGCTCAGGCGGGAGCAGGGCGCCCCCTGGCGGCGCAGGTGGGCGCGGCCGGCGGCCCCGCGGGCGGCGAATGATGCAACACCGGGCGCGGGTTGCCCCAATCGCTGGAGAGCGCCGGGCGCTGGCCCCGCCCCCTGGCGCTGAGTGGCGGAGCCCCGGCGCAGCCCCGCCCCGCCGCCCGCCGATTGGCTGCGCGCTCGCGCCCCGCCGCGCGGCCTCCTCTCCGTGCGCGCGCGGCCACGTGGACGGCGGCGGGGCCGGGAGCGGCGGGAGCGCGCGGCACCGGCCATGAGCGTGGGGTTCATCGGCGCGGGGCAGCTCGCCTTCGCCCTGGCCCGCGGCTTCACGGCGGCGGGTGCGCGCAGGACAGCTCGCCTTTCCCCTGGACGGGGGCTTCCTGGGAGCGGGTGCGCGCGGGGCGGGTGGTGCCGGTCCGTCGGGCTGACACGCGGTGTCGTTCGCAGGGGTCCTGGCTGCGCACAAGATCACGGCGAGCTCCCCGGACACTGACCTGCCCACCGTGAGCGGGCTGCGGGTGAGTGCGTTCGGGTAGCGGGGACCGAGTGGCGGCGCTCGGCTCCCGGGCCGTCCCGAGGCTGAGCGGTCCCATTTCTCCCCAAACCGGTGCAGAAAATGGGAGTGAACTTCACGGTGAGCAACAAGGACACGGTGAAGAGCAGCGATGTCCTCTTCCTGGCCGTGAAACCACCGATCATCCCCTTCATCCTGGAGGAGGTGGGCCCCGACATCGAGGCCCGGCACATCGTGGTCTCCTGCGCGGCCGGCGTCACCATCAGCTCCATCGAGAAGGTGAGAGGGGACCGGGCCCTGCAAGGCCGGCCACGGGCTGCTTCCACTCCTCTGACCCCGAGGAGCCGATGCAAGGGACAGACGTTACTTGTGCTACTCAGGACTAAAATCACACAGCAGCAGCAGCCAACTTGTTTTCAGTCACCTTTGCCTGTCTTCATCAGCAAATGCTAATAGGGGTTTTATCCAGCTCTTCCCGGACATGAGGTGCTGTCCGATCATGTTTCTTTTAACAGCAGTGAGTCATCTCCCCTGAATTTCTGCAGATTTTATGCTAAGTGTCTGCAGGAGCTGTTCTGGAGATCTGTGGGTTGATGTGGGATTGACGCCTTTAGGATTCCGTTTCCAGCCTGTCTTTGCCCAGCTCCTGCTTTGCTGGTACTGATGAAAGCTTCACATTCACCGATGGGCTGCTGTGGCTCAAAGCAGGGCATTTGAGATACACGGGTCTCTCTTTTCCTTCTTCTTGTGTTGTTCTTGCCCCTGGGGGATCTTTTCCTACATAGCCCATGGATAAAAAACATGCACTAAACTCATTTTTCTTCCTTCTTTCTTTTTTCATACTTTCTATCTTCAATGATTTTCTGCCCTAAGAAACTCTCTGCCTTCTGCCCCACACCAAAAGTGATCAGGTGCATGACCAACACCCCTGTGATAGTCCGGGAAGGTGCTACAGTCTATGCCACTGGAACTCATGCAGATGTGGAAGATGGGAAGCTTTTGGAACAGCTGATGGCCAGTGTGGGCTTCTGCACCGAGGTGGAAGAGGACCTCATCGATGCTGTAACGGGGCTCAGTGGCAGTGGCCCTGCGTATGTATGTGCTGTTTCCTCAGCTAGTGGCAGTCTTGGGGAGAGCAGTTGGCTTTGCCTGCCATAAAGTCTGTGCAACTTCAGCTTGTCTTTTTTTTTTTCTCCGATCACACACATTTGCAATGGGACATGTATCCAGGTGTCCAGTTTTGGACAGCTGGAAAATTTTTTTACCAGTGAGACGAGTCTGAAGTCCATAGCCAGTGTGCAGTGTCCATGCATCCATGTTTCAAAACTTGGGCCTGTAGTTTGCATGATGCAGAAGCTGAATTTCTCCCATTCCCCCTACTCCTGAGCTGGAACTAGTGTGAGGGAAGCCTGGTGTGGCATCCATGAAGGAAAGGGGGAGGCTTTTGTCAAGACTAAGTGATAGGAGAATAGTCCTGAAGCCCTGGATTCTCTGAGACTTCCCAGTCCTGGAGCAGAGTCTTTCCGTCACCTTGTTGCTCTCTCTGGTCTCAGGCATTCACTGCCCTGGATGCTCT